CATATTCCGTGATATTCCGCTATATTCCGTGATATTCCGCCATATTCAGTGATATTCCGGCATTCCGGGTTTTCACAACGCCCTTATTTTTGTAATAAGATATGTTGTCAGAAGTACATGTTTATAAACAGTCGTATGGGTACCATTGGAAAATGTTGTGATGTTCTGGTATATTCCTGGAAAATGTCGTCATATTCCGCAATATTCCGTGATATTCCGCCATATTCCGTGATATTCCGCCATATCGCGTGATATTCCGCCATATTCCGCGATATTCCGCTATATAGTGATGTTGCGGCATTCCGGGCTTTCACAACGCCCCAGCAAAAACAGCAAAAACCAAAAGTGAAGCAATAACACACAGAAAATATCGCACACAGATCAAATTGATGGAATAGCAGATAGCGAAACATAGCACACAACCAAGCAAAGGGAATAACTCATAGCAGACAAAGCGCACAGCCTGCTAAAATAATTTTTACAAATGCACGCACGCAGCAGAAAAGCACACAACCAAGCTAAGGGAATAGCACACAGAAAATATAGCACACAGACAAGTTGAAGGAATTATAGCATACAGCAAATTACGTACCCAGCTAACATTGATACAATAGGATACAGCAAATACAGCAGACAGCCAAAATTGAGGGAATATCACACAGCAAATTTAGCCAAGCGCCAAATTGGGGGACATGCACACAGCAAATAACGCACACAGTCAAATTGATGGGATAGCGCACAGCAAAGAAAGCACACGGCCAAAATTGAGAGAATAGGAAACAGAAAATATGGCTATAGACACAGCCAAAATTGAGGGAATTGTACACGGCAACTATAGCACACAGTCAAATTGAGGGAATAGCACACAGCAAATATAGGATAGAGCAAAATGAAGAGAATAGCACAGCAAATATAGCAGACGGCCAATCAACTGACACTGACACTTTCTTCGTTCGTGTGAGGTCACGTAACATGACAGCGCTTTCAGTTTAGTAAGGAGATATAAAACAGCAGGGGCGAAACCAGCCCCTTTTAATTAGGGGAGTGTCTGCTAGAATTGCCCTGCGAAAGCCGATGATGCCCTGCAGGGAAAATTTGTTGGCCACTATTTTTTCAAAAAACATTGGAGAGCGGGGGGAGGTTGAAAAACACATAAATTACCAATGAAATTAAGGTTCAAAAAAAATTTTCCGAACAAATTCCTCTTAAAACATGGATCAAACCCTTATTTTTGGACCAATATCTGTAAAATTTAGGTCTATAAATTCTATTCAATTCCCTCTGGAAGTCCTGGAAGTTACCTAATAACTCTACATTCTATCATTTAAAATTTTTGATTGCCCTGCGAATCCAGATGATTCGCCTTGCCAATCCAGATGATTCGTACTTTGGGGGGTGTCACCCCCCCCCCCCATACCCCCTCAAGTTTCGCCCCTATAAATCAGCAGATATGCAACAGATGGCGTAATTTTTCTGTTCCTAACAGATGAAAACTACAATTACTCCGACGATATTATTAATCGATAGCGAGTATTTGTCATCTTTACCTACCAGTAATAATTGAAACGGTCAAAAATTAAATTTACCTTTACCGATTCTTCGCGCTGTTTTTTTCGATTTTTTCTTCGTACAAGAACAAAGGCAACCACAACAAGAACAAGAAAAATAATGGAGGCTATTATTCCAGCAGCAACTACACCTGGTTCAATTGCAGATTTTTCACTACCAGCAGATGTTTTTCCTAGAGTGGTACCTGGAAAAATAATTATATATACTGTATTTGGAATTATATTTTATACGTCACAACATAACAGGTGTTTTCACACGATTGGTCAACCTCTCATTGTTTCTGGAGTTTTTCCAGAGCACCGGAAGATGGCTAATGTTATTCCTTTTTTTCAAAACTAAAGTTGATCGTCAATCGAAAATAGATGACAGACCCATCATCTTTATTAGCGTCGTTATCAAAAGTAATGGAGAAATTGTTTTCACGAGATTATATAATTGTTTTGCTTGACATATGTTTTTTAGATCCTATGCAGTCAGGCTATCGCCCAGGTGATTCTACAGTTAATCAAACCTTATATTTAACGCATAAGATATACAAAACTTTCGTACTAGGCAAGGCAGTAAGTGTGGTGTTTCTCGACATCAGCAAAGCATTTGATAGGGTCTAGCAACCTCGTTCCCAGGGCTTTCGTATGAGGACGAGGCGAGGCACGAGAAAGCCCTGGTCTGGGCCGGTCAATTTTGCATTCTGATTGGCTAACACCATATTGTCTAAAAATAACTGAACTTGACAGTTGACAATATTAACAATTCAACATTTGTATTTTTACGATTCTTGTGTGTACGAGAATGTTTTGCAAAATAATCTTTCGAGGTGAGGCGTTTTCTCGACTGCATGATTTACTTTCGCCTCGGCCGGTTACAAAACTCAGAAGTAGTGTCGATGTGAGCTGTGATGTTTCGTGACAAAAGAAGAAACGTCTACTAATATTTAAGCTGTAGTTTTCCTTGCACAGTATGTATAATGTAGTGCAGATGTCTGATGAAATACTACGCGTATTGCATTGTAGTAATATTTTAATTTACAATATTCTGTACTGACAAATAAAAGCAAGACAAACAATTAAATGAAACTACTAAATTAATTTAGGCCCCGTTTATTTAATAGCTTTAAAACAAACCCTCCTTAATCCTAAACTATCAAAAAGCTTTGTTTCTAAGCTTCGTGTTGATACCAAACGTATGGCGCAATATTTTAAAATAAGCGCAGTTTAGGCAATGTTTTTGGGCGCTAATGGTCGCGCGAATCATCGTATATATAGCAAATTATATCACGCTGAATTGCACGCGGTTAACATGGACGAATTCTTTCAAAATTGCTATGCGTATATTCGTTGCGTTGTTTACGAGGATCACTGGGAACAATTTTGAAAATCGACAGAAGGTCATAGAATGGAAATTGTATGGACCTTTATTGAAAATAGAATGGATTTTGATTATCCATAACAATTGTATATTTCCATAGTATGGATATTGTATGGAAATAGTATGGATATACTATGGATCTAGTGGTGCAATTGCAAAATTAAGTATTGTGCATGATTTCACTTCTTTTCCAGTGGAAATGGCGGCACGTTTTGTCAGAAGGGAAACGGATCTTTAATGGTCGACGTAAACTGCTTATTGTTGGGGAATCCACATTTCTGGCCATGAAAACCTGATGTATTTTAATCTCCGTCAAGAGCTTTGTTTCTGTATTTATCAATATTAATTGCATATCATTTACTAACTGGCCTATTCTGGCATGTAAAGATCCTACTTTAGTAGCCTTTGCTTATAGATTGTGCTATGATAATATAGTTCATGCATGGGTGTATTTTCTAATGATAATATCACTTGATCTTCCACAGTGACTTTAGGAAGATTCATGCACTTGTTTTAATATTCATGCAGTTGCAATCTCCATACAGGAATATTACCTAGCCAAGTGGTCGTATATCTGATTGTGTTGCCATCGACTTGACCTGGCATAAACTCGGTTGCCTAGTCAAATGTGGAAGAGACCACACTGTGGTCACCACAGGTCATGCCACAGACTTCAAATGAATATTAAACAAAATTAACCTTGGCACTGTGCAAGAATATATTCATATTGGTATCAGAAAAATAAAACCATTTAGATCAATGATAGTGTGTAAATTGCCAAAAGAAGGCTGTAATTTTTCAAAAAGGTATAAACCCATAAGAATTTTTCAGTTTGTAGCATGGAATTTTCCCCATTACAATATCCCATATTATCACATACTTGTACCTTTATCAGGTAGGAAGCAGCGGGACATAAAAACGATATCGTCCCGGATATCGTTTTTTGTCCCGGATATCGTTTCTTGTCCCGGATATCGTTTTTTGTCCCGCTAAATTTCGCGCCTTGTCAAAACAAAGATGGCCGACTCGAGGTTCGTGTTGGTTGATGTCGACAGTTTATCAAAGAAAACAAGAACGATAATACAAAACGAAAGACTTAAATTGTATATTATTTATATGAATGGTCTATTTATTTTCTAAAATCATATTTGTTCAGTAAATGATGAATTGTTTTGAATTCCAAAATGATCCTATTTTTTCAAAACTGTTTACTTTTGGGTGTCAAACCCTGATAAAGGTACAAGTATATAATAAATAGGTTATCGTACTCGGGATTCGGTGATATCAGTTTCATCGCTCTCGGGACGATATCACAATTGTCCCTCGCTCGCTGCGCTCGCTCGTGACAATTGTGATATCATCCCTCGAGCGATAAAACTGATATCACCTCATCCCTTATATGATAACCTATATTTATTATACCCGCTGAAAAATATTTTCCGTCTAAATTGTTTAATAAAACATCCACGGGAAACTTAAATGCCTTCCGCTGGCGCTGGGTTTACGAAATGTCGGAAAACGTAAATATTTTAATGCATGAAATAAACAATAACAGTATATAGGCAATTCTAGCTTTTAGTTTATGCCTGCAGGGGATGATGGGAAGTAAGGTATCATATTGTCGATTATGCTGAAAAATGTCAATAAAAACTAGCGAAACAATCGAAATATTTCAATATTTACAAGTAAAAGCTGTCACTCCGTGTTTACACGACCACCATTTTAATTTTTTCAGCATAATCAGCAATGTGATACCTTACTTCCCATCGTCCTCTCCACGCATAAACTAAAAGCTGGAATTGCCTATTAAACGAGCTGTAAGTTCACCAAAACAGTGACCAAATGTTTACAATAACTACAGAGAGTGAATTGACCTGAAAATTGTTTCAGTGTTGTCCTTTTATAAAACCATGAGCCTGTGGTTTTTCGTGCAGGATAGCGTGATCCATTGCGCTTGGGATGTTTCTCGACTTTTGGAGAGCGTAGAAAAGCTCTCAGCTAGCGGTTCGAGCTTTTAAGCTTTCCGAATGGGTCGAAACATCCCGCGCGCATGGATCACGCAATACCGCACGGAAAACCATTCGGTATTCCTAATTATGTCGTACCTTTAGTTGGAAGAAGAATCCCGGCAGGAAGATTAGTTGTGCCAGGAACACCTATATCTGGATATAGAGAAGATTAGTTGATTTTTATAATACAGCAAATACGTCAATTTACTGTTAGTAAGAATATTTCTGTGAAAAATAATAATTATTATAAGGCAATATACAGTTTTTCCCTGCTCTCAGTAAGTATTATTGAGTGCTTACAGTAAGGTAAGAGTATCACCTTGCTGCTTGAGATCACGAAGAAACAAAAGATGATGATCATGATATCATTCAAATATTATAGAGCAAGACAATCACCACTGTCATAAATACATGGTGCCATACATCGTTGCTGTCGAAATACGTGGTTCTGACCGATCATTGAAATATACGTATTATGAAATCTTATTTGATGCAATCTTCAATACTGGTGAGACCCCGGCCACCGATTCTCCTCTCTAGACACAGTCTATCAACCACCATTGGTGGATGAAATGCTCCATTCAATGATAGCAGGTTCCTAAAGGTAATCTATCTAGGTTCTGCTTTTCGTCCAGCAGCGTAGCCAGCCCGACTATTTTGTCCCGTTATGCAAATACAACCATGTTCATTGACAGTGAAAACAATCAATTTCTAAAGAAATGAATAACGAGAATAATTTTGAATATGCATAGCGGGACTAAATTGTCGGGCTGGTTACGCCACTGTTTCCGTCACTTTCCAATCAATCATTCCTTCTATATAGTCCTCTTTTTCAGAAAATATGAAAATTCGTGTATGTGAGGGCGGATATAACTCCGAAACGATAAAAAACATATGCTCTATCGGAAAAACCCTAACGGAAAAAAGCTTGACTCTGTCGGAGAATTCCGAGTTGGAAAAACATTCCACGAGAAAAATAATGCTTTTTAATTAACTTCAAGACGATGCGATTAAAGCTCAACATCGAGGAATTTGGGGGAATTAATCGCAATATTTTTGACAAATCAGATCGCACGGAACACGACTAATTTTGAAATTAGCATACAAATCCACAAATTATGGTAACGTATTTGGAACTGAAGATGAACATAAACGAACCGTCGCTTGTTTTAACATGGTTTGATGTAAAGCATTATCCAGCTTTAGTTCGAATTTGTGCGGATTTCTATTGTTCTCAATAGGGTTTTATTTGGGTAAGAATCCGAAAGCAAGGGGAGGGATTTGATATCTCTCCAGGGAAAAGTGGGGTTGATGAATAGAATTGAATTAATAATTATAAATTCACGGGTTTTATCTATATAAAACCCGGATTTTTGCGGGTTATATATATATAAAACCCGCAAAAATCAGGTTTTATATACTTAGATAAAACCTGGTGAATATTTAATCATCAATTCAATTGAATTCTATTCATCAACCCCCCTTTTCCCTATAGAGATGTCAAATTCCCTCCACTTGCTTTTAGATTCTTACCCAAATAAAACCCTATTGAAAACAAATTTAGAATCTTTGCTTCGACAAACCCATACACATATTGTTCGTTATAGCGCTTCTACCTTCGGCCCACTCTTTCCAAATACGATCGAACTGCCCAGATGGTGTTGTGTCTTGTGCCTACAGTATATTCGGTATACGCTCAATACGCGTTTTTCAAGACTCTTTGTTTATCTCTGTCTAGTTTGAGCACTGAAAATCCCAATGGTTCGTCATTTGCTTGCAAAAATTCTCTTTCCATAAGCCTACATTTTCATCTGATTCCGGTTGCCTGGAAGCATTTTTTTCGTCGCTACAAGGTAGTTCACGTTTCAATCTCATTTTCATATGGACCCCATGGTAACAATCGTTATTCTCCTAATTCAATGCAAGTATTTTCGACAAAAAAGTAGATTTAATTGTTTTTCAATCCTTACAAATTTGAACTAAGTCAGTTAATTACCTCGAACGTCGGTTTCTTAGCGAGATACATCCCTCGGGAGCGTTGCCCTCAGAAAGCATCCCTCGGGCCTACGGCCCTCGGGATGCTTTCTTCGGGACACGCCCCTCGGGTTGTATCTCGCTAAGAAACCTCGTTCTCGGTAATTAACTCTTACTTACTATATAATTTGAACAAGTTAGTGATGTTTTTTTTTATAATTATTAAAGTATGTATACTTTATGTAATGTACAGCAGTAACATATATAGCAACATGTTGAAAAGTTCAACATGTTACTACATGTTACTGCTGTACTACATGTTACTACATGTTACTTCTATTTTTATAGAAAACAGCTGTAGCATGTAGTAACTTGTTGAAATTATGTAATAAAATATAATAAATTGATAGTAACAAGTGCAGTAGCATTGTACAGTAACACGTGGTAACATACAAAGAACTTATTAATTATAGAATTATATGGTAAAAATGTAGTACACTTATAGTAACATGAACAGTAACATGTAGTAACATGCAGTAATTTGTCCTATATGTAATATTTAACAATTATAATATAGCAATTGTAAATTCTGGACGCTGATTGGCTAAGAGCCGTGTTGACATAACTCAATGTCAACACGGGAAATTTCCCGCCGCTCTTTAAATTGAAAAGCGTATTCCCAAAATTTAAGTAAAAAGTTTTTAAAATGGCCAATTTTCAACCTTTTGGCACTGGAGGCGATGCAGAAAACCCCAGAAGGTTTGCAAATTTAGAAGCAAGCGATTTAGACGAATTATTAGAAGCAGCACACTCCAAAAGGACGAAATACAGCAATGCTTTCGCTGTCTCTGTCTCTGTTTACAAAGGTAGTTCGTTTGAACTTTAAATTTAAGTTTACACCTCTCCAAGTAATCAGGTTTTTATATATTATGGTTGTCTTTCAGAGTGGGCCCTGCAAAGAAACATAAGTAAAGAGCTTCATGAACAAAGCGAGGAAGAGCTTGATCAAAACCTGAGAGTTTTCTATGCAGAAGTGAGAAACAAGACCGGCGAAAACTACGGAAAGTCAACCCTACTCGGCTTGAGAAGCGGAATTGAGCGGCATTTAAACTACCCCCCTCACAACAGAGGAATCAAATTTTCTAAAAATCCTGCCTTCATGAAGTCCAACATGATACTCGATGCGAAAATTAAAAATTTAAAGCAACTCGGGAAACAAAATACAAAGCACAAACCTGCCATAACGACGCCAGACCTTCAAAAGCTGAGAGTTCATCCAGTACTCTTCGCCTAGCTCGACTCCCCTCGGTCTCTTGAGAAATGTTTGGTTCCACACAACCTTATATTGGTGTCGACGAGGTAGAGAAGGCCAACGAAACCTAACACCGTCCAGCTTTACTTTTGCGGTTGACGAAAATTCCCGTCAGTATGCGACTATGACCCACGACGAGTTGTCAAAAAATCATCCCGGTGGATTTGACGACACGAAAAGTTTTGAAAAAGACGGCAGGATGTACCGTGCTACAGACGACCCCAGCGACGGCTACAATGCCTTGGAGCATTATATATCCAAGTTAAATCCACACTGTTCAGCATTCTTCCAGTTTCCGAAGCGAAAGTGGTCCCCAAGCGACAGTGTTTGGCACGAAAATTGGCCACTCGGTGTAAATAAGCTGGGTGTTATGATGAGAGAAATTAGCGAGGAAGCCGAACTGTCGAGCATCTACACAAACCATTGTGTGAGAGCCACCGCGATTGCTCTTTGGTCCGATGCAGGTCTTGAAAACCGCCACATTATGGCCGTTTCAGGTCACCGAAATGAACAGTCGCTGAACAGCTATACCTCGCGTCCATCCTCAACACAGCTTCGACAAAGCAGTGACATTCTCACCAGATCGCTCGTATCCTCAAATGCCAGCTTACAAATTGATTTTAATGACTCACAGCCAGCTCAAGTGTTTTCCCATGTAACATCAACATCTCAAAATACCTCAATGTACCACAGATCCAGCTTTGACAACATCTTTTCGTCTTGTTCGATCGGCACTGTGAATCTCACTGTAAATCCACCTCGAGAAGTTGACAAAGACTAGAGATCGCTTCGCCTCGCTGATTGCTATGTTTTCTTTACTTGTTTATTTCTTAAATGTAGCATAAATAAAAAGCTATTTCAATGTTTTCTTATCCTGTGCATTCCTTCAGTCTTTTACCAGTTTTTTTAAAGTAATGTAACATATATCTGATTATTCCAAAAGTTACTATTATTTATTTTGTTCTTTCATTGTTATTTCGACGAAAATACAGTATTTTCATCTGAAAATTCTAGGGCATTCTATTCTAAAAAATCTGTTTTTCTATCAAAAGAATGCCTTGAATCTTGGCCTGTTTTGTGTGCTGAGTGTAACTGCAAGGCCAGACGTGGCGATTTTAAAGATGGTATTTGCTTGTCCTTCCATAAGTAAGTCTATGAAACACACATCGTATATTTGTACACTATAACATACTTCATATAAACAGAATAGTACAAGACTATTAAAATAAATAATTTTGTAAATACAATAATGACACCAAATGTAGTTTTGAGCTTGTTGCCTACAATATAAAACTGTTTACAGTTTTAGTAAAAGAACATTAGACCAAAAGAACTTCTTGTTTTGATGTCTGTGTTAGGAGTCTATATATATATATGCATGTTGACAATAACTTTCATAGAGGTCCTTGCCTGTTGAAGGTAAAAAAAATTGAGTTTTGTTAACATCAGTGAACCAAAAATACATATTTTCCTTCACACTATTTAGATTTCCTATAACCAATCCCAGCCGGCTAAAAAGTTGGATAACAGCAATGAAATGGGCAGACTGGATGCCAACCAAATATTCAGTATTGTGTGAGAAACAACTTACACCCAACAACAATTAACCCATTAAGTCGGCATTATTCCACACAATTTCTCGTTTTCCCAATTTCCATTCGTGTTGATATAACTGTATATCAACACGGAAAATGTTTTATTTTTGTTAATTATTTGTTGATATACAGTTATATCAACACGAGTGTAATTGGGAAAACGAGAAATTGTATGGAAATGCGACGCCCGAAGGGTGGAGTGTTTTCATACAATTTCGAGTTTTCCCAACTTCCACGAGTGTTGATATAACTATATATCAACACGGAAAAAAGTTTTATATTTTTTTATAATATAGCAATGTCAAAAGCCCGGAGGATAAGAAAAATTTCCGTTTTTACAAGCGGCTGAAAATTTCCCGTGTTGACATCGAGTTATTTCAACACGCTCTTAGCCAATCAGCGTTCAGAATTTACAAATGCTATATTATAAATAGAGGTTAATGAAATAGTCACAGCAATCAGTTATGTCTCGTACCTCCAACATTTCGGTTGACAGAAAAAAATGGAAACTCGTATCTTTCATAAAATAGACTACAATGCGTTAGTTATTAACTTTTAATTATTAACTTTCAAAGATTATTTACATCCGTTATTAAGCAGAGTCATGATTTGTAAATACAGGCTAATTGTATGCAGCAGTGGATCAGTTATTAAATCTTGCGTTAAAACCATGAGTATATGCACGGAAGAGTCTTGATTACCCAACGAATTATTGTATTATTTCAAGAGATTGCCGTTGAAGTAATAGCAGACAGTGTATGATGTAAGTTTTTTGATTATCTCTCTGAAATACTATAAACTGTTATCAAGCAAGCTCATAAATATTCTATATAACATGTAGAATCTGCCATGCTTTAGAGCTTTAATGAAGATTTATACACCGCGTCTCCAAATATTCCCGCGCAATTTTTGTCTTTAAATTTAGACAATCACAGAAATAATATCCTTAGACTTTTTGAAAACGCATCTTGACTTACTATTGTGTAAAGCCATTTTATTTTTAGTTAATACAAACGTCCATGATCGATATACGTTTTAACTTTGTAGCGCACAATTCCTTTTACTGTTTACTGTGCAAGGTATGGTCATGAAACTTGGCTGCAACATTGCCACAGTATTGTGCTGTGAAAAATGCAAAAACTTATTTCGTTTCTACGTTGCCTTGGTAACAAAGCCATTTTCGAAAGATCGTGTTTTCCATTTTTCTTGGATTCTTTGAAATTATTTAATCGGTTGTGAGCCACCTTAAGAGAAAACTGATACCACAATTCGACTCTACAACATGCCTAGCGTTAACAGTAGCGTAGCCAGCCCGACTATTTGGTCCCGCTATGCAAATATTTTCATGTTCATTGACTGTGAAAACAATCAATTTCTAAAGAAATGAATAATGATAATAATTTTGAATTTGCATAGCGGGGCTAAATTGTCGGGCTGGCTACGCCACTGAGCGTTAATCAGCGATGTTTAATCTACCAGAATTCATTTTCCAACCTTTACTGTGGAACGGGTTGATCGAGATCATTTTCTCCTCATGGCAGCTCCAGGACTATTAGGTGCTAAACCACGTCTCATCAACATCCTACATAACCGGAAGCAATTCTGTCGCTGCCATTCCCCTTTACCGACGGAGGGAACGCCTTGAGCAGGCTTCATGTTTTTGCTATTAAAAACGTTACTTGCTTAAAAATCTTTGCTGAATATATGTATTTCTTTTCCGCATAAATTGTATTATAATATCTCCCAACTTTTCTGGAAAGCCCAAATATTCAAGAATTTTCGCGCATTTTTTAACAAATTTTCTTTCGGTCCTGTAATATTTCAATAATTCGGTGTGAGTACTTGAGTGAAAAGGATAACTTTCTTAGTATGCTCTAAGATGAAAAAGGAAAGGATGAAAGGAAATTAAACTGGGTAAATTGTTTCGATTTTAAAAATGTATATTTTAATTCAATAAAAATTGTAAAAAGGGACTGGCACTATCTACAAAGCTCGGCTTCAATTTCCCTCACCTGATTTTTCATTCCTGTTACTTCTCGTGCAATGCTAAGAGCTCCAGAAAATACTGATATCAGCATGACTATACCTGCAGACTATGAATTAAATAGAACTTATAAAAGTTTTTTATTTACTCACAGGAATAGCGCTATCAAATAATTACACAATTATAACTTTTAATTGTGCTTTTAATATCGAGTTTACAGAACCAGACACCATAGTAGGAGCGAACATCGTTTATAGAAACTAGCACATAAAATCCAAAACAAAATTAGCTCGTCCTAGTTCAGTGTATGAACGTCCTGGTTAGTAGTGACGTCCTCTACTCAGGCAGCGAAAATATTTAAGGATTTCTGTTTACGTATGATTTCTGGTTGCCATTGTTAATAAAGAATACATTCCACACATAGGATAATTTGCTAAATAATTCTCTATTATCTAAATATAAAACTATTTTTGTCAAGTGGTCACGCAATATAACACATAAAGATTAGTTGACACAGCAATATACAAACGTTTCAGCTCATAAAATACTATTACCATTTGGAAAGAACCCAATATACAGTTGAGATTTAAATTTGCTGCACTGTTACACAACATCATCCTAATTGCTTTTCCTACTTTTCCTGGATCGTCAAACTAAGGTAAATTTTTTGTATGCATGTGTATGAGATATAAACATTCTTCTATACAGTCGGCTGCCAACTATTACATAATGAGACTAAGCTGCATTACCACGACTGCATGTAAACGAAGGGATCAGGCGCAAACCTGGTGGTTAATTGGTACCAAAAGTAAAATTCCTATCAGAGTTCCAGAATATTTGTTCAAAAATATCTTCATACAATTGCTTTTCACTTGTCCGGATGTTCATATTTAGGTAATCATGATGATGTCAAATTTAATGATATACTGCACTTGTGCATAGACTGGTTGAAGTTCACGTTAACATTGTAGCTTTTGCGTGAGTGTCAATTCTTCTCAGTCCATGACACGAACTAGAAACGAATGATCTATCTAAATAATTTGGAAAATACAAAAAGTTAATATATACTTGCATATAAGTCATCTGTTACGCACATCATTGCCTAGTTTATCTTGAAGAGATTTTGTAGATGGAAATTTCAAGCGGAAAAGCATATACAATTTTCGGAAAAGCATATACAATATTAATACAACTGTACATGTATTAATACAAACAAGCAGAAAAGCATATACAATATTAATACAATCGTATAATTATAGTCCTTCTGGCAGGAATCGAAGGGTCGGTTATAAGGCCATTTCCACTCAAGAACGTACATTTTCCACTGACAAAAAATACTCCGGCGAAAATATTATTCTTTCAAAGCGGAAATGGCATTTAGAACGCTGCACCGGAATCGCAGGGCCGCAAGTTTAATTCCCGCCAGAGGAAATAGAGTTGAATTTTCCCGGCTGCTCTTGGTTGGTTCTAAAATTGTAATCTTCCGCTAAAAATTTCCACCTACAAAAAACCCTTCAACCGTTATAGTTCTATTGAGCGAGATGCCCAATTTAAAAATATCGCAGTTTGTCTTGGCAGATAATAAATTATTGCGTCAATGAGAATTAATATATGTACATCACTGGACGAACAATCAAGAAAACATCAGTATATATTCCGCGATTTGTTAGTACAAATCGGTCCTACGTGGATGTAAAATTCGAGATTATTATATGCAATTTTAGACCTTTTGCGTCATCTACACCAAATCCTTTCAAATGCTTTATGGCTTCACTATATAGTGAAACTTGGGGGTCGTTTTGCGCTGGCGCGGTGAAGTAAAGGTTGAGTACTTTGCTGATGTATACACGAGTATACGCTGTATATTAATTTAAGAAACAGAAGAAACATTTAATTTAAGAAACATTTAAGAACCTGTATGCTCTAAATATATAATTATTTTGTAAAATAAGATAAAGCATTTGAAAACAAAACACACAATTCAAGCTGATTTTACACTCAAATTCGAAGTTAACGGCAATATGAAACTTGAAGTTCACAACAACTTTCAAATAGGGTCGCACTATAGTCTTGAATCTTGTGTCTTCTTTCCAAAAACTCCTATCTATAGAGTAAAGGATAATAATTACGATGTATATTTTCCTTCGTGTACAATTTAAACTGACTATATAGGTAAGCGCGCCTAGAATAAATCTGGTGCTAAAATAAATTAAATATTGAAGAGCTGGGCAGAAAGCATATGCCTGCAATGAATATATTCTATACACGTTATCAAATAGTTCGTTCATATGACAATGGTTGGTATAAAAACATTAGGTTTTAGAATATATAATTGCTGTATGACGCAATTTTTTAAAAGCCAGTAAAGCACTCCAGTTTCTAGAGAAAGAAACCCTAAAAAGAGTGAATGCATGCCCTCGCTTTGATACCATTATTATCATTAAAATGCTTCACATTCCTTAGTACGCTGAACGATTAATTTCGATCACGATCAAGCAAACCTGTAAATATAATCCCAGTTTTTAATACTCTTGACAGAAACCATCAATATATAATAGATACCTTTCGCTTAGTGTCCTGCATGGTTCTTACAAGTGAGGTAAATCTTTTCGACATGGATATGAAAATTAAGCATTCTTTTAATTCTAGAGAAAGAAACCTAAAAAGAGTGAATACATGCCCTCGCTTTGATACCATTATTATCATTAAAGTGTTTCACATTCCTTATTACGCTGAACGATTAATTTCGGTCACGATTATAAAAACAAACCTGTATAAATATAATCCAGGTTCTTAATACTCTTGACAGAAACCATCATGGTATAGATGCGTTTCGCTTAGTACCCTGCATGGTTCTTACAAGTGAGGTAAATCTTTTCGACATGGATATGAAAATTAAGCATTCTTTTAATACTTGCGAGCTTTTACAGAATATTAATTGATTAGTACGATTTCATAGACGATTGCATAATATGTAAACATCGTAACGATTGTTATACTTGTGTACGAAAAAAGTAAATTTCAGTTTTAGAATTTCAGTATTGTTCAAAAATATCTTGATAGGGCCTATAATTGCTTTTCACTTGTCCGGATGTTCATATTTAGGTTATGATTAAGTCAAAAATTATATTATTGCTCTTGTGCATGGACTGGTTGAAGTTCACGTTAAATAAACATTTTTAGACAGTAGCGTTTGGGTAAGTGCCAATTATTCTTAGTCTATATATGACACGAACTAGAAACGAATAATCTATCTAAGTAATTTGTAAAATACAAAAAAATCGTTAATATAATTCAGCACTAGGTTTCAGACAGCAAGATAATTGCTGTCTATATGCAATTTAGTAAAAAGCACTCCAGTTTCTAGAGAAACAAACCCTTATAATTAAGAGGGAATGCCCTTGCTTTGATATCATTATTATCATTAAAGTGTTTCACATTCCTTATTACGCCAACGATTAATTAATTCCGGTCACGATTTTAAGGTGGCTCAATACAGTTTTTTAAAAATGAAAAATTCGTGATTTAGATGCGTATTTTTGAACAATAATTACTTGTTGATACACAAAGGTACCTTTTTTATATAAAGCAACATCTAAAGAATTTGAATTTTGGCACAAAAGTAACGCAACGGCCGTTGCTATGGCAACAATAACGTTTCAAGATGGCGGATATTTTGGACTTAAAGTATTTTAACTCATAAACGACATCGGTGACCCCCAAATTTTATTTAAAAAAATAATTTTTCTCAGTATATTCAATTAATTTGACAATTTAAAAAAATTCTGTGGTGTCAAAAAGAAATTATTATGAAAATCACCTTTACGCAAAAAATATCAGCTTCACAGATTTTTTTAAAATTGTCCAAAAAATTGATTATACTAAGAGAAATAATTATTTAAAATAAAATAATTGGGAGGTAGCCGATGTCTTTTACGAGTTAAATTACTTAATTAAAGCCAAAACATCCGCCATCTTGAAACGTTATTGTTGCCATAGCAATGGCAGTTGCGTAACTTTTGTGCACAAATGCAAACTCTTTAGATGTTGTTTTAAATAAGTAAGAAACTTTTTGTTTATCAACAAGTAATAATTGCCCAAAAATACGCATCTAAATCGTGAATTTTCCATTTTTTTAACTGTATTGAGCCACCTTAAAAACAAACCTGTGAAAATAATCTCAGTTCTTACAGGATATTGGCAACCAAAATTTTTATTGCTTCATCTGAAAGACCATGAAAAAATAAGCCGGTTGACCGTTTAATGCTCTACTCTATCTCATCTAGTTCCGAAGTTATACGCAGAAATGTGCAAAACTATATAAATAGACAACTTGCATGTTAGACAAATTTTTGATCTAACCGATCTAGGCAAAAAAAAAAGTAAATTCCCGTTAAGAACTTATTAAAATTAGTAAACTTGCAAAATTTGGTTGCGAAATGTT